CACCCACAGACACACATTCATATACTCACTATGACAATAAACCATATGCGAAATGGGGTTTAGGGTTTAGTATGCATATACGCACACCAGATGCAGCTGATGCCAACTTTGCGCTCGCGCAATGTGCTCGTCGTTTCGCCGCGGCATGTGGTCTCAAGAGTTTGCATTCTTTTACATATGCCTTCCTATATCGCCGGGCGACGCTATCCTAATAATATCTCATTTAAATTTAGGTTAAACTACACATTTGGGGTTCTCCGGTCCTTTAATTATTACTATCAGAATTTATACTATTATTAGTAGTACTATTACCATTATCAGCACTAGCATTATTTTTATTACAGTCATTTACTCTATTACTATTTTGCTATATTGCTATATTACTAACTATTATTGCCAGTATCCCCAAGCCCAAAACCTAAACCCTCCGCCTGAGTACCGAAGGTGCCTTCAGAATCCTTCCTGACTCGGAGAGCTTGAAGATGGAGTTTCACATCATCGGATTTCACGGCATGGTGCCCCCTCGGCCTTAGCTTAAGCAAGATACTGATTTAAACGTCCTCATGTAGTTTTGTTCGGGTTGCAGTGATTGCAGTGCCATCTAGAGAGCGCATCTGCGTGTTTGACGGGGATTAGGGTTTGTATGGAGTTCTGGCGTCTGGAGTATCCTTTTTGCGTTTGCTGGTTCATGCTTCAGGGCCTTTGAGCTTCAGGCTCACTCAGTTCAAGGTTTAAGTTTCCGTGTTGAAGGCGTTCTTCGTGGGTGAAGGTATGGTTTCTGAACCTCAGCTGAACCTTCCCCATCCTTCCCCAGGAGATTTTCAAGGCTATTCGCCTACTACAGCAGCAGAGGCGTGTCAATCCCGGCATTCGGAGGATCTCTAGAGTAGAGCTCTCAAACTGTTTCCTTAAAGTTGCTATTGGGTCCTTTGGAAGAAGACGTGCTAGGAACCTGCAAGCGGGATCCTGCCAGAATATAGATAGACCCCTAGACACTATAATCCTTAGAAAATGGACCCACCCAGAATGGTACCCCTACTTTTGAAAAGCCCCTGAACTTTAAACCGGCAAACCAGGCCCCCTGGGGCTGCTGGATCATCATCATCGGCTTCCTTTCCTCGCTGGGCGCTTTTCTGGCATTGCCCTACCTGCCCTGCGAGAGACGCAGCCCGGCACGGCTGAAAGTTAGTCAGGGGCCTACTCCATTATTTCGTTATTATTGTTTACATGAGAAAGTAGGGTGTGGTAGTGTGTGGTTATGTATCCTGGTATACAGACCATAGGACAACAAAAAAAGCCAGGATTGTTGCTGGTAGCAATTCCAGATCTTGGTATTCACTGCAAGGAATTAGATTTTCGGATCTCCAAAGGTGAGGGCTCATACACCAACGCAGACTATGCATGACTTTGTCAGCATCATGCAGGTACTTTCTTCCCCCATTATTAATCCCACACTCCACCCCTACCTAGTTTCACGTGTTCCCCAGTAGTATGATAAGATATGATACCAGAATGGGGTGTTGCATACTTCTACAAGGTTCCTGAAAATAGTTGTTAGTTTCTGTTACCAACAATCCTAATATTTAGCTGAAATCATAATTTCNNGGGTTCCAAATCCCTTAGAGACTTGAGGTGTATTAGAGATGAACATTTGCAACCATCTTACCCATGAGGAGGGGCTCGCTGCAGAGATGATGAGAAACTGCTTCCAAAGGGTCCGGTTACCTAAAAGTGCCATAATATGAAGTATCCCCCTTAATAACCCCTA